CAGGCAAGCATCGTAAATTTTAATATTTTTGTCTTTGTCCTGGGGTTTTTATATACAGCATCAGTTACGCCTGGGGAAAAAAGCATCAGATAAAGACCGCATTCATTGTGGATCTTTTCGGATCCCCTTGCTTTTTTTTCTCTCGCTCTCTCTCTCTCTCTCTCTCTCTCTCTCTCTTTCTCTAGATAGTTTTGAGAATGATTCTCACGTCACGTGCGTGGGATGAGGATGAGGTGCTGGTATGATATCTTCAGCATTTTCAAATGACAGGAAGAAAAATGGGTATACAGTACGTCGCGATATATGAGAATAAGGTATTTGGTCTGCCTCAGCAATCTGAATTCGGTATCTACGCCTACAGCAGCTGTCCTCTTATTTCTCCACTTGTCTTTCTCATAATATTGGTGCTGCTCGTATGCTGACGATGGTGCTGATGAAAAGGAATCCAACCGTCCCAGGAAAAGTTTCATCCATTATCCTGCTCCTGTTTTTTTTTTTTTTTTTTTGCTTCCTTTCCACCCTACACCCTCATCCCACAGTACAGGCATGCAGAAACAGGCGATTTTAGAGTACTGTATATATGTCAAGCTCCAACTTTTTTATAGCTCGACTACGTGCACCGCCAGGGGACATATGGGATGATCCTTGGTTATTATTGACTTGCCTGCGCTGATGGAAGTAGTTCATCGCAGCTCGAGTAAAATTTTCATCATTCGAATGCCGAGTACTGTATATACAGTTAGTGTACTACTGTACTACCATAGAATAGTAGAATATAAGTATTTGCGCACAGTATTTGTAATTTTGGTGTCTACGTACTAGCTGCTGGACTCGACTATGATGCACGGCGCGGATACATACATCCATAGTACTGTATATCCCTGATGCGATGCGATGTGATGCGTGGAAAGCCTATGATTCCGTCGAAAGGGAAATTACGGCTCGTGCGTCTCATCGCTAATGATTATTCCTGTCGACGCGCAGAAAATGCCGGGAATTATTTTTGCAACGCCGTCGTTGCCTGATGGTCGACGTATCTGCGGAATCATTGGGATTAACAAGACGGAATACCTTGTGCGTGGAAGGATTAAACGCACCACGACCACTATTATATAGTTTACCAATGTACACTACTGTACAAGGAAAACAAGAAACACAATAAGGCTTGCGCTCCCGGAATGTCGTTCGCGTACTGAAAGGACTTGGTTCGTGTAGTGTCGCGCTCGTACGTGTTTCGGAAACGTTTGACTCTGCGAGCAGCATTTGTTTGATGTCGATTTGACGCGGACTCCATGCGGATGAAGGGATTGATATCCGGTTTTTATAAGGGCTTTTTCTCATTTTTGCCCAGCGCATCAGGTACTTGTTGTGGTTGCTTCCCTCCTGTGGGACCTATTTATTTTTTTCGAATAACGGTATGCATGCAGCAGCCACAATACCACTGTGTCATGCATATGATATGAACGCCCGAGATATTATTCCCCATGTCAGCAGTCCCCTCTCAATAATGGCTAACTTTTTGAGACATCCAGTTGTTGTTTTTTTTCTCCTCTTCTTTTTCGGGTGAAGTGAGGAGAGAGAGAGATATGGTGAGGATGATAACGTGATGGATGGGATAAAATAGAGAGAGAGTGGGAAATAAATGAGGCCTCCGGTGCTGTTGGATGGGCCACGAGGGGGTGCGTGTGTGTGTGTGTGTGTGTGTGTGTGCTTGGATGGGGAAGGGAAGAGAGAATTCACTTCACCCCTTCTTGGTTTCGTCGACACCAACGCCAAGCTTTTCGCCGTCGTTTTTCAACTCGTTATTGTTGTTGCGTAAAGCTTCACGGGAAAAATAAATAAATGAGGAGGGGACGATGAGGCAGCAACGCGGGGAGGGGATTCGTGCTGGGGGAGAAAAGAAAAGCGTCGATTCATCTCAATTCCTTGCTGCCGATGGATGCATGCATGCCACCACACACGTTACAGTGCAGTGCAGTACTGTATTATACTACTGTACGGTATATGCAACTCCACTCTGCTTCCCCACTTTACTGCAATTAATATAATAATAATAAATACATGTTCAGTATTTAAAAAAATATAGTATACAGTACTGTACTCAATATACAGTGGAGTACAGTATACGTACAGTATGTGCTGCAGCTATCATCATCATCATCATCATTAGATCCAAGTTGGAACCGATCGAGTCCCTTATATATATTTGATCTACTACTGTACAGTACAGTGAAATACGGTACAGTAAAGTACAGTACAGTGTTCAACGTATTAAGGCAATGCTTATTGACGACGATTCGGAACTGGAAATTTGTTTAAACGGGGAGGAAAATAAATGTGTTGCGTACGTGATTAAATAGGTAGGGGGTTGATCGCTTTTATATACTGTATATCACAAGAAACACATGTAGTACTGTACTGTATATAATAACGTCTAATCGGATGCTCATTGCTGTACGTATGTGAGTCACGTTTAAAAAGCATCGTGTGGAGATCGAGGGATGAGGATTCATCCGGTGTCACGTTCTCAGCATGCACGTCGACGGTTGTCGGCTTGCAAACAAAACCACGGGTTTCTTGTGCTGGGTGGCACAGTACCGTACTCGTTTGGTACTTGTTCGAATGTCACGTCGTCTCGGGCCGAGTCAACGATGGATAGATAGATGGACGGTTGAACACGACAGATCGGACATGAGACGTTTTTACTTTATTCTACTTTTCCTGCGTCCGCCGTTTCCCTTCTATACTTGCTCTCTTGAACGAATAACCTGTCCTGTACAGTGATGTATATTCTTCATTACGTTCCGTTCCCCGTGTGTTCCGTGCATTTGCAGCTTACGTCCGCGCGTGTATTGCGTGGATAAGAGGATGCTTTGGAATTGTTTTACAGTACAGTACAGTAAAATACAGTACAGTACAGTACTGAACTGTACTCTAGCAATGTGACGTCGATATGAGGGCCTTTGTGCTGGTCTTTCCACTCGATCGACTCGATCGCTGGCTGTCTGCCTGTCTTCCGATCATGCACCACTCTGTTATTCTCATCTGAACACTGTATATCTTTTAAATTTCACGGATGCCTTATTGGAAACAGGCAAGAACAACGTGGTTTATTTTTATTTTTTCAAGTTGGATTACGTGTTTCCTTCGTACAATATGGTTCCACAATCCTTTCATGTCCTGCACTCCCAGCACAGTCACAAAAAATGGAGAAAGTCAAAGGGAATTAGATATGCTGCTCCTACGCACTTTTACAGGCTAAAGTATCATGGAATTCCACCCGCAAATTTAAATTTACATTAATTTGCTTGGTTTTGTTCGGCAGCTCTCATGTATGCACAATGATTTTTTTTAAATACTTTATAGGACGAGCAACCGAATTCACTCTTTTTCCCACTAGTGTACCTATTTTTTGGTCTGACTGGAGAATTAGACCCACAATAATAATAATAATAATAATAATAATAATAATAATAATAATAATAGTAATAATAAAAATAATAGAGTATTAATACGCACTCGCATGGTGCGAATTCATCCGGATTCTTTCCAAAGACGAGCTTTATTCTAATAATAATGGTTTCTCGGTGGACGGTCTATGAAATTGGGTAAATTAAAGAACACGTGGTTCTTTTCTTTCCTCAGTACCCTTGTTGTTTCCTTTTCTTCTCCTACATTTCTTTGTTTTTTTTTGTGTTGTTTGTTTTTGTTTCGTCATACGCCCCTCCCCCACTTCATATCCACTCGGACGACGTCGTAAAAGCGTCCGACGCGTTTATTATCGTCTTTCCGACGAGTACTAGTTGATGGGATATCGGTACTTTAATTCCGACGGGTTTCGTTTCGTGTCCCTGCTCGTACGTGGAAACTCCTTTATAGACCGCCTTCTCTCTTTTTTCTCTCTCTCTCTCTCTGTATGTATATATATTTATTTATTTTCCTCATCGTGTCAGAAAAAAGGCGCTGTCTATATATGTATAAATATATCTAGTGACGAGAGGAAATACAACAAGATATGGTTGTCTATTTTGAACTATTGCTTGACATTCATCGCAAATTCGAATACCGTGAATTACTTTGTCACTAATTATCTTTATTTTTGGAGCTGCTTAATGCGCGGTCGTTACGTCGTTTCACGGGATATGAGCAAAACGGAGGTCATGATCGAGGGAAAGAGTGCAATTTCCATCTATTGCAGCTGGTATACGTACGTTTGTACGCCCGTCGTGGACGTGGACACGCGAGTAGTTTATTTACTGGAAATGTCTGTACTGTATTTGAACTTACGAACAAGAAGGGAACAGCAGGCTGCATTCATCGTCTTCAGCTTCCGCTCCCGATATGCCCTTTGAATATACGAGAGAGAGAGAGAGAGTACTGTACGTATACTACAGCAGTAATCCAGGAAGAGGATTCAATCGATAAAATTTTCTCGATCGGGATTCGGGAATGAAGAGCGGTCGTTTTATTCGCAGTATTATTGTTCGACTCGAGGTCGGCGCAAGAGGCGGAGAACGAAACAAGGAGAATATAAGCAGCGAAAGATGAAGCGTTTCTCATTTTTTTCGCTCACGCGCGTAATACTACTGTATGCAGTACTTTTGGCTTCGCGTGACGATGACGTCACAACTATCTATACTGTAGTGTAAAAGATACAGACGAAACTGCTGCCCGAGTATCCCCGCTGACATATTATCAGACTGACATCCATGAGCAGGTCCCCGAGGATATGATTCCGACAGAATACAGTGCTGCTATGCATTATTAAAATACTGTATGTCCTTCCTTATGTATTACGTCTATGGAAAACGTTTTTTTTTTTTTTTAATTTTTCTTCATAATCGATGACATGCAGAGAGACTGATGGAGAGTTAAAGGAAAGACGACTGATGGGTACACCTCAATTAATAAGAAAAAAAAGAAAGTGTTGTTGATGATGATGATGATGATGCTCATGACGAGTCGTTTTTATTGTTGGTCTTGTGTTTCGGCAGATCTTCATGCACAAGAGTGCCATGCAACTCCACGCCCGGGAGGCGCACCGAAACGACATCAAACCCCACCAGTGCCAGCAGTGCATGAAGTCCTTCTCCAGCAACCACCAGCTGGTGCAGCACATCCGAGTCCACACGGGCGAAAAGCCCTACAAGTGCTCCTACTGCGACCGCAGGTTCAAGCAGCTCTCGCACGTCCAGCAGCACACGAGGTTGCACACAGGTCAGTCAGTCAGTCAGTCAGTCAGTGTCATATACAGTACAACACAGTCCCTTATTGTTCCCTCATTGCTTTGCTTCACTTGATAATTTACTCATTTGCTGTTGCTGCTGCTGCTCCTGCTGCTGATGATGACGATGATGATGATGACATCACTATATATACAGTACAGCATTCGACTCTATAATTTATTGTTGCTGTTTTCTTAGTACTGTGCAGCATAATTAACTTGTATACAGCTCCACATATATTCGTCATTGTGTCATTAATATAGGCAGCAGATGCACTGATTGTATTCTTTCTTATTTGTTTTTGTTGTCGTGTGGTCTCTGAAACAACAACAACAACAACAACAACTTCACATGTATTTTGTGTCGTCCAACACCGTATACTTGCATTTTTTCCCGTCATTTCTTCAACGAAGTCGTGGACGGTATCCGAGAATCGCGTGCTAATAATTCCCGTCTTCGTAGGCGACGTTATCCTCAGAAAACATTGTTTCACGACTGCCCATGAAAATTCTAGTTCTAAATGGAGATCGAACCTCACCGTATATATACAGCAGTAGCTCCACCCCCCCCCCCTTTCCCACCATGAGTCTCTGATGATGGACAATAAACAGCCGCATGCAAAAGCTGTATGAGAGAAAACTGTTCATCAAGTCCTTTTCATTATTTTCCTTTGATGATCCTTTCGGAAATATTGCTGCTGCATGATAAATGGGAAGAAAGTCCAATATTTTGTCTTTCCCGCAGGAATGTTTACGTTTCATTTTCAATTTCTTTCAGGACTTGTGTTGGAATAAGTTGACTCGGGGATACGTCAATATTTTCACTCACGCGGAAATAAAGGGGATGATGGAGGACACGAAAGACAAAAAGAGGGAAGAAGAAAGAGGGTGGGCGTAGAACAAAAAAAAAAGAAAGAAAAAAGGGGAGAAGAAGACATAGAGAAGAGAGAGTTTTCAAAACAGTCAATTCATGATCAACATTTGCGCGACGATATACACTGCATATCAGAGCCAACGGTTTAATGGCTTTACTTGTGCAGCACAGTAATTTCTTTTCCTGTATGCTGGCGGCAGTCACACACTTTTCAGCTGATCGAGAGCTCTAGTTGAAAAGTTTCACGTACCATTTTCAATCGGTTGGTTCGTCATCGCTGGTTGGGCCACATCACACATGAAAAAAAAAAAAAAAAATAATGTTAATGTGCCTCGACAAATATAAGATTATAGAATAGATATGAGAAACACCTTATTGGGTCCTTCTTTGCTCTCTTCATCGGCCAAGATTAGATTGCCAATAAATACACTCTCACTGGCCTGCAATATTATTGAAATGTGGTATTTCGCAAGTGATATTCACTGCCACTGATGGGGCTGTGCATATATGACCCAGTCAGCAAGCAAGCGGCGGCAAAACGATTGTCGTCGCTCGACACTTCATCGGTCGCCAACTGCGGGTTCCTATATACACAGTATTGGTAATTTTCGTGACCTGCATGCGGCTAAAGTTTCAATTCATTTATTTTAATTTTTTGACCGCATATTCGGTTTAATTCGATTGATTAGAGTGGATATTGTATAGCATAATTACGAGGGTACAATAGAGCTATCTCTATGGAAAAAAGATACGTGTGCTTTAATATACATATATATATATATATATATATATATATATATACTGTATGTACATATGTGTGTGTGCTCTTGAAAGTGTTATACGTGAGTGTGTGTGTGTGTAACACACATATAGTTACACACACACACACGCACATCACACACGTATAACGGGAAGCATCGTACTGGTGCGGGTATATAGTAGTACGCTGCAGCGGAGACAGCCGGAAATCAATTACGGTCGTTAATTACCTCGCAGTAATCACCCGTGGCCTTATCGAACCAACTGGGCATTAAATGACCGGCCATAAAGTCGCTCATGGCTCGAGAACACGTTCGCGTTTCTTATTCGAGGTCCCCCCCATCACACGTGTTTCTATACAAAATCCTGCTGTGCTATGCTCCTCATCGTCGGGACATATTCTTGGCTTTTTCATTCATTCTTGCTGCGTATCTCATCTGCTGATGAAATTAAAAATGTACGTTATTGCTCTACATATTATACTCGTTTTATTTCGTGGCAAGGAAGCACGTCAAACGTTCCTCAATATGCAATTATCTCTTATTGCAGTTCGTTGCAGATCGTCACTCAGCACACTCGCAAAAATAAAAATAAAATACCGACTGTTAAAAAATTTGATGACGGGTCTTATTGTCTATTCTTCTTTTTTTATCTGCTACCAGTTGATGTTCACTCTTATGAAGATGATTATATTTATGGTGATATTATTAATGTATCTCTCTCTCTCTTTCCCCTTCTCTTCTTCTTCTTCTGCTACTTTTCCTTGTGCACAATCTGTATATATATATATATATATATATATACATATATATATATAGATATGGAGGGTACAGCATCAGCAGCATACACTGGTCGGGATATGCACAAGGAAAGGCAGCAAAGGGGGGCAAGGCATCAGAGCAGCACAGAGCGAGGGAGAGAGCAATTGCGCTTCTAATTGAAATTTCCGCGGGGTTTCATTTTTCATTAAGCCCCCAAAAATGCGGCGAGGTTTTGCGAGCGACGTGGCGTGATTTAAGGAAATGAATAAAGGGCGGCACGACGGGATTAACACGGACATTTTCGCGGTTTTCTCGTGCAGACTGACGATGACTAGTGAGAGAGAGAGAGAGAGAGAGAGAGAGAGAGAAACAGAGAGAGGGCAGAGGGGGAGGGGACGGGCTTTCTTATTAACGGCGCTTGATCCGGATTTCGGCGCAAGGGGGCTTTCAGCACACTTTTCTTCTATTATTATATTGGCTATTATATGGCTGTACTGTATTTGTGTATACTGTACTGTACTGTATATGCGAGTATCGTACCGCTGTACTGTATACTCATATGCTGCATCAGCAGTTATTATGGTGCATAGCATTGCAGATAGCGAATTCAGATTGTTCATTTCATTTCCGGACTGCATGTTACTTGCTCTGGCATGCAGTACAGTACTTTACTGTAATATGCAGACTTTCGTTTGCTGATTTTTACTCGCCGGTTCTTACTTAAACACCGCCGCCTTTTTATTTTCCATGAAGAATCAAATCATGTATGCAGTATATAGACGATTGATTATACCGTAATACAATCGTCAGCACCGATACCATCTCTAATTCAGGCTCTTGCAGGATTAAGACAATAAACCGCCTATATACTGCATTATAGAAGTACAGAGTATAGTAAATAGAGCAAGGATGCTTAACAATGATTGATCCTAATATGAGTGAAAATAGAAGAGAAAAGAGAATCGAGACTCATCTGTTTGGAAGGATTTTTTGCGTCAATAATTGCATTTTACGATACTGTGCTTTATTATTAGCTAAATGCTCTGTATAGTTTCTCCTCTTTTAATAGAGCCGACCATTGGGTGAACGGCAGCAAGCTGAAAAAAGCATTGCATTTTGCTGTATACAAGTACAGTACTGTATATATACGGGTATATGCTGGGCGTAAATTGAGAACTGGGTTCGTACATTCAAACATGTGCGGCTCATCAGTATTTCATACGCTGTACTGTATATACAGTACATTACATACGTATGTGAGCCCCGCGACACACGGGTTTCCTGCGATTCCTTCCTTCTTTCCTGAATTCTCGAATCATCATTTACTTCATGTACGGCGCGGTTTTTCTTTTTCTTTTCTCCCTTGATGGAATTAATAATGCGCTTGTCTCGTTAAATGTTGAAATATTATTGTACTGGTCTCAGCACGGAAAATCGTTAACCCGCTTTTCACTTTACGAAACAATCGAAAAAAAATGTAGACTGCATATTGTTTGGGGTTCTCTCTCTCTCTCTCTCTCTCTCTCTCTCTCTCTCTCTCTCCCTCCACCCTCTTAGTTTATTAGCAGTATACTTCCATTCCCTGTCCCAGTTCTTACTGGTTTCGTTGCGTACGCTAAAGTGCGCAGATGTAACATATCTTTAGGAAACATTTTTAGAAAATGAAATATGAAATAGTCAAAATCGAGAAAGAAATTCGCAAGCATGCAAGACTGTGAGCGGAAAGCCACAATGTCCACCAAGAACTCAAGATTTCAGCCCTCCAAGGAACTGCTACAATTATGCATTAGATACCCTTTATTTAAAACGTTGTCGACTTCCCGATAAGAAAGCTTTCTGTAACATGCAGGACTACACGTATATGTATGCGTACATGGCCATCAGCAATATGGTGCTGTACTTTGATTTCTCATCAAGCAGACAGCAACTCGTCTTGGCACTTTAATCGTCTTTGTGAGAATGCTTTCCCTCTCATCATTGTGTTTTTGATCTATTTGTATGCAGCTGAGGGACAAATGCGGAGACAAAATAAAGTAGAACCCAATTGAAGGGCTGTATATGTTGCTTTACACTTTAAAGGAATCAAGCAGGAGTTATACTGCACAGTACTGCGCTGTACTGTACTATAGACAGCATACATCCAGTGTCAAATTCAAAAGTGCAGCAGCAGTTATTGCCGTTATACACTATGTACAGTATTACACTGTCCTGTGTCCCGACTACGGGTACAGTAATTTTTTTTTTTTTTATAAAATGCTGCGTACGTATACACTGTGCATAGAGCGAGATGCTGAGTGCTATAGAATCAAGAAGACACGTCCCGAAAATTCAGAACTTATTATTCGTGTGGCTGTCTGTCAGACGCTTGGCTCGTTGTAGAAAAAGAAACCAAATCATGCTTTTATTTTTATTTTTTTAAAAGAATGATGAGGCGAATTACAAGCAATGCAATACAGTACAGTATATTGAACACGATGAGGGTTCGCTACACGCTGATTTTAAAAGAGAAAATCCATCAAGAATTAGTTTCGTACAGCACAGCAAGTGAACAAGAAAAGACTGTTTCGCCTTCACACACACACATGGAGGCACATACAGTATATTTAAAGCTCGGGCATGATAAGAAGTAAAGGAAGAAAAACTTACGTACATCCGCTTGCTGGTGCTGGAATAAGGTGTGTGGGTGGGGAGCGTGGAAAAAATCCGCCCATTTTCTTCCGACTCCCCGCCTTCTGCAACACCCACTTTTATTCATTCCATCCTATGCTCCAGCACTTGCTGCTGCTGCTGCTGCTGCTCCTCCTCCTTCTTCGGTTTACTCTTGGATATACAGTATACTGTGGTAGGGGTATAGGTAATCTCGTGTCTGTCTACGCTTTCAATTTGTTTTCAATCTCTCAATCTCTCTCTCAAACCAATCTGCTTCAAACGACCTTCTTTCAATTGACCGCAGGGGCCCGATTCCTCGTCATTGATCGGCTGAAAAGGTGGTCGAAGAAATTATATCCCCTACGGGACTTTCCCCGGTGTGGCTAATATACACGGTAGGCCAGAAAAAAGTGAACCACTTTTCAACTTGGAATAGCTTTAAACTATTAATTTTGTCTTTTATTGTTACAATGCCAACATTGGAGTAGAATTATAATATCTGTCAAGGATCTTGCATTTGTAAGAATAAAAAAGTAGTCATGATCTTTTTTTAATTTGAACAATATAATGACCTAATCTTAAAATCTGAATAAATTGATGCAGCAATATTCATTTTCTGAAAGAGCAATGCAGCAATACTCTGGAAAATTACTCAAGTTTCTAGAAAACCTGTATCTCTACCACTTTTGGAGGAAAATCCAGTATTCTTGATCAAGTAATTTAAAATGAAATATTTGATAAACCGCCATCCCCTTTTAAATCACCAACATTACTCTAGGACAAATGGTGGTGTCTTATTGAGATTTGACTGCATCAATGTCCCAAGGGCCACAGCATGGTTACAAAAACCATTTGAATGAAAACTTTCCAAACAAAAAAGCAAAAAAGTTTTCAGGCAACTCCTTTCACTTAGCTGCTGTTCTTTAGAGCTGTTTTTAGGAATCAATGTTGCACAGGACCACTAATTTAATGGCAAACTTTATGCTGCCTTAAAAAGGGGGCAAACATCCTCGAGATTTAGGGGTTGGGGGTGATAAGTGCACACAAATTGAGCACTTGAGATCTTGCTGCACTCCCAAATCTCAATGCAAACTTGCTGCTGGGTGCCAGCCTCATGGCTCCAGTGACCCAATCAAATTTACTTGGTATGACTGGATTGCTGAAACTGCTTTCAAGTGAAAATGATTTTAAAATGCACTGATGTTGAGTGAAACTAATTTTGAGTAATCCAGTCATGCATGCTCATGCCACAGGAGCCCCTCAGCATCCTACTTGCCAACCCGCACCCCCCCCCCCCCCTTCTCACCATCTCCTTCTGAAATTTGGGAACATGTTCAGGTTCTCGGAAACAGCATGCATTTGCTGGTTAAATTATTGCATCCTGTATTTCCTTTATTCATGCAAGCAGCTCTCCAAATCATCAGCTTACTGGAAGATATAGTTGGATGGCAAAATTTTTGTGTGGAATGTTTTCATTCAAAAGGATTGTTGACCATGCCTTGACGCTTGGGAACATAAAAACAAATATGTTTTGGAAGAAAATGGAGCAAGTTTTCATGTGGCTGTTTTCTATGTCCTGTAGCTCAAGTTTCTGCCAAGATATTTTAATTCAAAAATCGGTTCTCTTCTTTTGGTTCACCCTGTATTCACCATCTGTCGGAAATAGACCGATCATTGGCTCTGTCAACCATCACATACCTTCTGCCGAACGAAAATCAACTTGTGTGTTTATTCTCAGAAAAGACGCGTGAGAATCTGCATGATGCCACATAAAAAAACAACGGTCAACGAAATGCTGTAATAAATTGAAAGATGACGAGAGAGAGAGAGAAAAAAAGCTTGACGATTCTAGTCGGAATAACTACAGCACGAATAAGATTTGTGATGCCGCGAAAGTCCGACTGGTGTACTCATGTGTACTTGCTATATACTGCAGTACCCGTGCAAGAGGACACGACAACCGAGAGTCGAGGCGCGAGAGGGGTTGCACAAATTCCATTTTCATATTTCACCCACTGCGTGAAGAGGACATTTGAAGCCCGAAATCCTGAGGGGATTATTCTACACCTTACACTCATTCCATGGAATCTAAGCAATCCTGTAATTCGCTTTCGGTCACTCATACAGGGCAGGAGTGTGATTTTCATGGGAAATTTACGCGTGAAGAACAGGAGGAGCAATCGAAAGAATAAGCCACAATAAGATGCTGTATATACAACAGTGAATAAGTCTCACCTATCAAGGATGTCAACCACTGTGTGTGTGTGTATGTAGTGTGTGTATGTGTTCTAGTACATGTACTCAGGCGTGATGGACGACCTACGTTGGTATATGAAGAATTACCATAACGTGACTCTTGACGAAAGTCATATGGCCATGATTCATCATTGACCTTTCGGTCATCGAGTAAATTGCAGTGCAGTGCACGGAGTACCTAAGTATCCTGTATACAGCATCTTACTGAAGTAACGTACCTACAGTATATACTTGAGCTTCATCGTAGACGATGCGTGATATAGATACAGTGTACAGAATACGGTAAGCCTCTTGACCGAGACATAAGTTCTTTCCTATACGTTCCCGCTACTGAAATGAAGTAGGTGTGGACCGTGGAGAGAAAAGAAAAGGAAAACAAAAAGAGGAAAAGATAGAACGAGGCGGCATGAATGCGACTTGCAAATTTTCACTCTGTACAATATTTTGTTTATTGTACTGTACTGTACTGTACAACATGGTTCAGTGCGGTTCTTTACAGACGGCGGGGAAATAAGGTTCGAGACTCGGTTTCGTCCAAGCACACAGAGGAATTTGCATGCGGAAATCCCGGGGTTTACTTCGGTCATTGTCGGGGCGGGGGAGGGGAAACATTGACAAATGAGCCTCGGGGCCGAGAAATCCGCGCAGAAATGCCGATGGAAAATCATCTCTCCCTCTCTCACGCGCGATTGAGCCCCGGCGTTTCTTATCCAAAAGCCTCATCCTTCCTAATCCTTCATTTCACGCCGTCTTCCTTCGCTGCCTTGTGCAGTTTACAAACGGTAATCGTAAGTTGGCGATATTACTCCTCAAGCTGGCTCGTATATGCATCCCAAACCCATGTATCTCTTCCTTCTCTTTCTTGCGGTGGCGGAATGTAAAGTACTGTACTGTTTTATCAGACGAAGGCGGAAACAAATCGAAATCGTTGAGGAGATTAAACGAGCGTCTGAAAGTCTGCCGAATCACACACTCCGTCTCTCTCCCTCTCTACTCTGCTCTTTATGTGTTTGTGTGTGTGCGTTTCATGTCAAGTCATGAAATTCAATCTCGCACCCCATTAATCAATGCTGCCGAGACACAGCCTCGCTGCAGAATGGCGGCAGCAAACTGAATAATCAACGACGCCGTCAAACACACACACACACACGCGTACAATTTACAATACTGTACTCATCAAACACGAACTGTAATGCACATGACCCCGATGACAGACGAATCTGATGCTGAAAACAATGATTATAGGCGACGCATGACAGTCAGGCACAGCAGCGTCTCGCGGGTAGCAAACGAGAAAATCAAACCCCGCGCTGTCGATTTTTTTTTAAACAGATGTCGCTACTCCAAGTTTACACTTAACGTCCTCGTCAGTCACTTCAGTTCTCTAATGTCTTATCCTCACATACGCCTCATTGACGATGAACACCAACACCACCACCACCCCTGCTTGCTTCTACCACCACGTTCCACCACCAAGCACACCTTCAGCAGCAGTCCACACCTCACCTCAAGCTTAATTAATCCGAGTCCCCTCTGTGAGGGTTTTATCGGGCTTTCGTTGAAGGCCTCCGCGATTCGATCAAGATGTGCACCTGGTTTTCCTCCTTTACGAGCTATAGTTCCGCCGACTTTGTGGTCATAAAATTGAGCCTTTCTTCTTCTTCTTCTTCTTCTTCTCCTTCCTTCCTCCTACTTGTACTTGTACTCGTTCTTGTTGCTGTTATGCTATACTGTATGCTGTTGTGTATGCTGTATAGAGGCAGTGTTGTTTTTCTCACTTCCTCCTTCCTTTATCAAACCCGTCTATTTAAAAGGGGGGGGGGGGGGAAATGACGTTGATCGATGAGCAACGAGGACTATGGAAAGAAAAAGAAACAAAGAAGAGGGGGGGGAGGCGAGGCAAGATGACTGCTTCTGCTGCACCTGTGGCAATATTTAAGCTACTTGTTCCGCGCAGACACGTCGGCGGCGGCGCGGCGGAGGTCAGAGCAAACGTTAATTCGCCTCGCTGCGAGGAACCGAGACGGAATAAAACCCAGCCCTGGGTTTCCAATTAGTTCTGCGGGATGAAATAAAGCAAAAATCCCATCAATTTCCCCACTTTTTTCTTTCTTCTACTATTCTCCCCTCCTCTTAACCATTTCTTCCCAATGAGTATTTTTTTTTGTGATCATAAGGGCTGAGCAAGAAATGGGGCGAATGTTTCCCCCGAACGGCTAATCCAATATATTCGCTGGCTGCGAAGGAAACCTCGTCTAATTTTCATAGGAAAAATCATCGGCAGGAAGTAAGAGGAACAAGGAACAACGCATCCGACCAAGACGAAGAAGAAGAAGAAGAAGGGAGATTGCCGAAAGCCTGCCGGCTGGCTACACACACACACACACACACACACACACACAGTGGTTGACATCCTTGATAGGTGAGACTTATTCACTGTTGTATATACAGCATCTTATTGTGGCTTATTCTTTCGATTGCTCCTCAAGAGCCACACACACACACCCCCCCCCCCCCCCCCGCCAAAAAGGGGAAAGGGCTGATCATATATGCTGCTGCTGCTGGACACAGCAGAGAGAAAGAGACAATAATAAAAGAATGAAGGAAGGAAGGAAGCAAGAGAGATAGCTCGTAAATCAGATCCTCATCAGATCAGTTTTACGACTCGCAATCTCAGCAGCAGCAGCTGCTGTAGCATCGAATGAATCGACACCTGAGGTGCAATAATAACTCGGCAATAGTGGGCGAATTAGAAAACCAGGATGAGGCTAGAGAGATGGGCCGGGGGATCGCGTATTTTTCCGGGTTTGGCAGAATGAAAGTTTCCAAGAGCTGGCTTTTGGACGCCGATGATCAACCCCGGTCTAAAATGGACATCATATATATACAAGTTGTTGTTGAATTTTCTCACTGCTGCCGTACGTGAATAAGAAAGGGGGAAGTCGCGACTTTTCAGACAGGCGGGCATGCACAATAAGTCCAATGCCCAATAAAAGTCCAATTTCAAATGCAGCATGCACCGTGTCGTTGCATCATCATCATCATCATCATCATCTTGTTGTCAATTGCCATTCGTCAATAATCATCGACATGATTTTCTTGCAGCTGATGTTGAAGAAGAAGAAGAAGAATAACATTATTATTATTATTATTATTATTATTATTATCATTATTGCAGGCGAACGACCCTACCGGTGCCACATGCCCGAATGCGGCAGGGCCTTCATCCAGCTGAGCAACCTGCAGCAGCACTTGCGCAACCACGAGTCCCAAGTAGAGCGCCTCAAGAACCGGCCCTTCCACTGCAACATTTGCGGAAAGGGCTTTGCCACCGAGTCCTCGCTGAGGACGCACACGGGCAAGGTATGTACACCTGATGTACGTCCGACTTTCTTTTTTGTTTTTTCCTCTTCTGCCTCTGCTTCTCCTCGTCCTTGTCCTTCGTCTTTATCCGTCCATCCATCTTGTCCTATTAATCACCCCATCCCATCATCATCATCATCATCATCAATTAGTTGCTATCGTGCAATTCGTATATTATTGCCTATACTGTACATTATACCGTACTGCTGCTGTATACTGTATTGATTCATCTATAATACTGATGTGAGTGGGAGACGAAAGGCTTATACATTCATTTGGATTCTCTTCTGCTGATTTCCCAATATTGGCGGGACTTCTTCAAATCAATCAGACCGTAACCCGTCGTCAACGACCACTTTACTGTACTGTACTGTCAATAAGTCGCAAAAAAAAGAGTTTTGAACCTAGCGCTGTTCTTATTACTGCTGTACCACGCACACGCGCAGTGGAGCACGAGTGCGAATTGGAGTTTATCCTTTTTATTCTACACCCATACATTTGCAGCAATCTGTATGAAATATTCCTACATAAAGTTTATGAAGTATTCTAGACTGAATGAAGTTTTCTCGCTACGACACTTGAGAATGCAGTATTCTCTTTCTTGTTCTTTTATTCAATACTGCTGTACGTATTTATGATACTTACAGGAGCAGCCGTAAAATGGCAAAGAAAGGTTTGAAAAATAAAATAAAATAAATCATCAGACAAAATTCTACTCGTACGTAAAAAAAAAAAAAAAAAAGAATTCCATACATCGCCACTCATTCTGATGCCACTTTTTCGACTTATTCGTGGCGTAAAAAGCGCATCTTGGTTGGGTGCATATTAATGAATACTTCAGTAAAACCGCAGACATTGCATGAGTATAACTGTACCGTGCCAATGCTAGAGGACAAGCGAGACAATCAACATGTTCACTTGAGTAATGTACTAAATTAGGAGCGCAATAAAAGAAAGGTTCACGCGATCGACGGGTTCAACAAGTTCAAAATTTCAAGATATTTGGATGGCCTTTGTCGGAGACGAGTGACTCAATTGCGTATTGAGGAGATTTTGCAGTCTCAGCAACAGTCAGTCTTTAAAAAAAAAAATAAATAAATAAAAAATACATAAACCAGCTGCTGCAACCAACCATTGCGACAGATGATAATTTAGAAATTCGATGAAATGAGGAGCAATTGACTTGGCGGGCCCAATTTATAGGTCTGCAGTCAATTCTCCCTATACTGCAGCTTTTCTTACACATTACGGTATATTTATATTTGTTTGCTCGCTTTCGTCCGCTTTTATCATCATCACCATCCATCGTCACCACCTATTTACTGTATACTCACTCTAGTCTATAGTCTATACTTTATGTGTCGTGTGTGTGCAGTGCACATGTCATGTTTGCTGTATAGTGTCATCTTCTTCATACGCTGCCATGCAGCAGCGGACGCATCATCATCATCATACAGTGCTGTAACTATAGATAGTGATACTGTACTGTTCCGAACTGTGTTCACAGCACGCTGCCTTGCTCGGTGGGCCGAGTGCACACGCGTGTCCCGTGTGCCACAAGCTCTTCTTCTCTGGCGAGAGTCTCATGGAGCACATGAAGTACACTCACAAGGACCCGAACGCGTCGGGAGTTGCGTGTAAGTCTTTGTTGCTGTCCACCACTTCCACGTCGATGACGATGACGATGAGTCCCCCACTGGTGGTGATGGGTGCGACACCTGGTGGTGGCGGTGGCGGCGAGACCGTGTCCTCTCCGTCGGGGGCCTCGACGACGTCCGAGTCGTCGGACGCGGCCATCCTTGGCAGACTCGACGCGGGTCTCACCGCCGCCTTCCCGGCTCAGCTTGCAATGGGGTTTCCTACTGCTGGGGGTGTTGGTATTGGTGGTGGTGGTGGTGGTGGTGGTCCTGGTCCTGGTGCTGGCAATGGAGGTGGGGCTGCAGCAGCAACAGCAACCGCCCCAGCTGGTGCTGGTACTTGTCCTCCTATAAGTGGTGGTGGTGGTGGTGCTGCTGCTGCTGCTGCTGCGGCGGCTGCAGCTTTGCTTGGGAGCAGTGAGTTGTTCTCTCCTTTGTCTGTCTGTCTGACTGTCTGAGTATGCGTCACCTTTCCTGGGTTCAATGTTGGTCTTTCTGACTCTCATTTCTTTCTCCTTTTTTTACCACGTTTTTATGAACTCACTTTCTTGTCTGTCTGTTTGTCCGGATCAAATTTTGAAACTCAAATTTCACTCACTTCCAGACTAGCTAGCAAGCTGAAACTTTCAGGATAGCCTAGAAACTGATGACAANAGACTAGCTGGCAAGCTGAAACTTTCAGGATAGCCTAGAAACTGATGACAATGCAATCTTTTGTGCTTTTTGGCACACTATGAGCAGTTTAATTAGAGTAATTACAGTTAATGACCACAACACATCAAAGGCGACACCTGGAGAAAGCGCGCCAAGTGCAAATTGGCGTGCCTTCTCCAGGTGTTGCCTTTCATCTCCTTTGTTCGGAGCTCGCTTTCTTGAAGGATTAGAACCGCCACGGAGGCTCCAGAGGCGATTTAGTCTCCATCACGCATTGCAAGAACCCAGAGCGAGAATGCGCAACTCGACGTAATTCAAAGTGCCGTGAATGAATCGCGTTTTGTTTGTAAAGTGAATGCATGAATCCGCTTTTGATCCGGCGAGTGAGAATTCGAATTTGCGTGCCCTAGGATTAAGATAATGCCGATGCTTGGGCCGAGGCAGTTAGCTCAGATCTAGCCCAGTGTTCTCGGATTTCAGCACTTTTCGTTGGTTGCGCAATTTCAGCATTCAACCCACACGCACCGGGTTCCATTGTTCTTTGAGATTTAACTGTGAGGGCACCATCGTGGCGACAAAATTATTCGTAAACAGTGCTTGCAAATGCACTGCGGCGCTGGTGCCTTTGAAAAGGCCAAATTCATGCTATTTTGGGTTCATCGCTCAGACACACTCTGGGAAAATGCTGTGGTACCCCCCTGTCCTCGCCCCCCTCCTCATACCCTGAGGATACGCGGCCTAGGAATCCACGGAAGACCGGGTGGGCTCCAGTTATTCTGTTCTGCTAGACCCACCGCTCTTCATCCGCAGCTCGCCCCTTCCCGTGGAGCAGTTTTGGTGCTGCTGCGGAAGCTGGTTGTCCTGCCGACTTTCTTGGCAGGATTTGCTGCATTGAGCAGCTAACTCGGGAAAACTGGCCCGTCACATTTCATTCAAATAAAGTGGGGTCTTGTCTGAAAATGTACATTCCAGGTTTCAAACTTGATCGTAACGTTTTTGCATTGGCCTACGAACAGGGATTCAGCTTGCGAAAAATCTTGGGGCAAAAACGTAAAATTCTCTAAAAGATGGGATTGGAAGTACACCGATCCAGCTGATAAACCTTTCTAGATAATAAACATCGTACTGGAACAAAGTTAGTCAAGACCTCACTGTAAAGGGCTTACTACCCCACAGAGGTTCTCAATCAGTGTTGCCGATCACCCATCAAGTCTCAAAATACCCGGAACTCAGGTTCTCTGCATTCTCCAGACGAATAGAGAAAGAATAAGTTGCTTATAAAATTGCACGCCTAATGAATAATTGGAAAGAAGGCAGGATGATTTGATTTGAACTGATTCTACAAGAGACTCTAAATTGCATAAAAATTAATTGTAAAAAGGGTTCTTCCAAATATGTAAAACACCAGTACACTCCGTTATGAAGCCAGTATGTGAGCATGATGTTCATCTTGATAAGATGTGCAGAGGGACGTTGAACCAAATATGTTCCATTCTGTGGATTGTGGCCCATTTCACTCTTTATGTGACTCAAAAATTCCCATATAAAATTATGGAAAATTGTTTAATTAATTCCACAATTTTAAAAAAATCAATAGGAAAACGAATAGTAACGTAATAGTACTGTATAGCTAGAAGTTTTCATTGAAAATTATTGAAAGCATGCAACATGGGAAGTACAATACAAAGTAAATTAAAATTCCTGCATAATTGTATTTATCCTTTTCAATTATTGTTTTATTTTAATTTTAGTTTTCAAGTTTTAGAATTCCACCAGAAAAATTTTATACAATCCTGTTTTGTTTTTCTACTTGACTTGAGGTTCATTTCTCAATTTGGTTTTGTTGCTCGAGGCAAAATGGCGTCCCGCGTTTGTTATGCAAAACATTTGTTGTTCAAGGCCTCAGTGAATGAGCATTTCCGTCTAGGATTTGTGTACCGTACCGGCTTCCGAAAGTGCTCCATTTTTTATTGATGATGTGGGCTAATAGAAAAAAAAACTGAAAATGTTCATCAGTTATTGTCATTAAATGAAATATTGTACTGCGGTACTCCATACAACTAACTAGTGCTTCATACAATTAACGTGTCATACAGTATGCTTTCGTGAGAAAGTACTGTAAGTATAAAATGAATCCTGAAAATTGCATTCACTTTTTCAAAGCTATAGCAATTGCTTTTACGGAATTTTCACGAAAAGTTTTGAAGTTCTTATTTGTGCTTCTCTTTATTTTTGTCAAGTTCGTTTGGCATTTCTATGAGGTGATAAATAATGGAATGTTGCTGCAAATTTTGCTGTTGGTTATCTGAAGAACCAAAAAAAGTCTGTGGAAAAGCAGTTCCTCTTTACTTCTTCAATTCTGATCTTTCTTTCAGTTAGAACGCATTTGGCTTTTCTTTCCGCAATTATACAGGAAATGTGTCCTATATAGCATGAGTACATGGTACAAAAACACACGATGTCATCAATTTGGTTTGTTATTCGAAGCTCGTGTCATTTGAAGCTCTACGAGTGTACCTTCAAGAGTGGATTTGAATGGACCATCTCTGCACCGGAAAAATGCAGGTCTCAAATTTATAAATCTGCTAGCTATTTGACTGGATGAAAGATATTATGGTGCGTATGGTAAAAATTCATTTGCTAAAATTCTTGAACAGTTGAAGCTTGTTGCTCATATGTATTCCCTTATTTATTTGAGATTATATTTTATACAGCGGAGTCGAATTTTTTGACGAACGACGGATTCCCAATCCCTCGAAGATTTAATATCACTGCCGATAAAATAACTTTTTTAGATTAGAAAAGGATTACTTCACATTTCGCCTACATCCCCAAAAATCGTGAAGCCAGAGGGCAACAGGTTGATGAGAGGGAAACAGCGATTTAACTCCAAGTTATAAGCTGTGCAGGTTACTTTACTGTCTCCAGAAGAATACAAAATTAGGGGATGTTTAAAAATTGCACGGTTCATCAACACCGAGAAATTTAATCTTCTTGAGGAGAATTGTTGTTCACAGGAGCTCTGTACGGTACAGTAAACGTAGAATCAGTCGTGCAGTATTGCACCACTGTCTACATTACACTGAGCCTAATAGAAAATAATCTGAGTACTGTATCTGACAATGGAATTAATGTTTTGGCAGTGCCCTTTGATAACGAATGCCAACAGAGGACTGAGCGCTCGAAAATCCCTGAAGCTTCAAAATGAAGACTGTTTCATTTCCATGGTGTAGCGAGCAAAAATGAATGGTTTGCCGCCTACTGCAGCAGCACCCTGATTTTGAGAGATCATCGAAAATCTGTCGCCCTCTGCGCACATCGCTTCGCGTAATCCACGTGTCACACGAGCCTGAATAGTTGGGGAGGAGATTCGATTTCCAGCCGCACGGTATCATGATCGAAATAATGTATTCCAATGAGCGCCGCTCAAGTCTTCGTCGACATCGACGTCAAATACCTTCGATAATTCCAGCAATATGTTCGTCGGCTTCAATTTTTTTCCGCGGACAGCATGCGAACATTTGTGTCGAGTAAGCTGCGAAAATTTATTGTCCCTGGCATCAGGGCAAGCATTTAAATCTCCCAGCTTATATGACCAACAGCTGGGCATCACCTTGCCCCTGTGCTGATTTTTCTCTCCGCGGTCAACTGTTGATATCCATTTTTTGAAATGACATTGGTATTTGTTTGGTATTTGGTATTGCTTGGTATGGTATTTGTATGGCGGTAGTTTTGATGGGGAAAGAGACACGGATCGAATCGTGGTTGACGCTGAGCAAAACAAAAGCGGGGCAGACATTTTCTGAATGCTCGTCGCTCTTGGGGAATCACCGTGATGTCTTGAAATCCAAGCCCTCGCGACTCGCTAGAGATTTTTGGATCAATATTCTAAACCGAAAGCGTTTGTGTCAGTGCAGTGGCTTTTTACGGAGACTCGAGTGAGAGTTCATGGCACATGTACAGCATAAAATCATTTAAGGCGGTCGATGCGATACACTAACGATCATTATTGCCCGTCTGCGATATCATGATTCCCCTGCCGCCCATTCTGAGTATACAGTTGGGCAGTGTCTCTAAATCAGTGCACAGAACATCGCTTACGAACCTATGTAAACCAGCACGAGCATCACCCCCCTCAAGAATATCGATCCAGCGGAATGAAAAAGAAATTCGTCGTCCAGAATTTGTACGGTAGAACCCTCATAATTCCGGCAGCTTTGGCAGTGACCCAGTTTGGTTACACGAGTCGCACAACTTTCCGAATGAGATACAATATTTTTATGCAATACTATGTCATGAATGCGCTTTATACCCTCAATATAATGGCACATGTGACATTTACTCGCAAACAGCATTCAGGAGTCAAAAAAATGTATTATTCAATAAAAAGCTGTACTGCGTTAAGGAGCATCATGTACAATACAACAATTTGATAAGAATCTCATGGGGACAGGAAATGAATTGGTTGCGAGATTAATGATGTAGTGTGCTAAATTTTCACAGAAAGGGTGAGTTTCATGTTTAAGCTGTTTTCAAGTGACTCTTGAAATAAACTTGCGGATGCAGGTCGGTTAAATTAGATTATTCACCTTTCGCCTACTCCGAAAAAGAGATTCATCTTCATAAAATGACGGCGGCATTGATTTTAATCGACTTCAGAAAATCGATGCAAGTGAACTCTCAACGATACAAGGAAATTGAATCTTCATGAATAGAATTGTTGTTCACAGAAGCTCTGTACGGTACAGTAAACGTAAAATCAGTGGTGCAGTATTACACCACCGTCGTACAGTATTGTTACTTCACCGAGAATCGTTGTAGTCTACTGAGAGGCAAACCACTTTTGCCGGAACATTTCTGATACAATGAGTCTTTTTTTTATCGAGGTTTTATCATTCTGATGCAGGTACGGTATTGTACAATATAGGCTGTTTCAGAGGCGCGATGTTTCGGCTGGCACTCAACTGCTCCAACCCCAATCCCCACCTCCTTACTCTCCTTTCCTCTTGTTTCATTTTCCTCGTTGCGATTCCCAACAGAGAGAAATGAACAGGACACACTGACGGAAAATATTGTACAACCTTGTGCTCCGATATCTGGGGTAAGGTGGGTAAATGAGCAGGAAAACGCGCTCAAATACGACCAGGTTCGATACGGCCCTGTGGTCACCCGTTGGCCAGAGTTCCGCTTCCATGACATCTCGTCGTCATGCTTTGAGACACCCCGCGAGATTTTTAAACGCCCAGATTGCTTCGGAAGGATTCCGATAATGTGAGTCTTGAACCAGAAACGCGATCTCTTCTTGTTCCGATG